CAAAGTTATTTGGAGACTGCATCCCGATTAGGTATTTAGGGCAGGAAATGTGAAAGGGAATTCATATTTGCACTCCCTTTCATAGCTCTTCCCATCTGTCAGAGGGTCTAGGTTCAGTAAAAATGACTGCTGCTCTGGGGATCATTTTACAGGGCCATAACACTTTGCATCTCTGCACTCCTCACTTTGATCCTGCTAGATAAAGAAATGGAAACATTCAGAAATAAAGTTACCTTTGCTTACACCCTGCTTTTTTCAAATATTTAGAGTCATCAAAGTAGAATCATGCAGAGCAATGATATGAAAACACACGAGTGAAGCCAGTTTATTACGCTTTATTCTCCCATCAAATCATACTGGTAGCTAAGGAAGGATAGCATTCTAATGGCTTGGGTCCATCTCACTCCCCAAAACAAAAAGCATACCATCATGGACATACAATTGCATGCTTCTGCAGACAGAGAGCAAGCACACATGTATCAGTACTAAGAAAGTCACTAATTATGATTTGCATCAGGTCAGGGCCAAGCATAGTCATCACATGTAGTGCTGCTGAAACAGGTTCAGACTTCAGAAATGGATGTACTGCTGCCTATGTCACAAATCTATCTCTGGTCACTTTCTAAATCAAGGCAAGCAGGTATGGGTGTGACAGCATTGGAACATTGAATCAGAAAGATTTGGCTTTGCAGCAGTTTGATTCAAAGCCTGTAGCATGTATGCATTACATCCACAGACCCCCTTCCTTCCTTCCTTTCCTTCTTTCCTCTGGTCCCACTTGTGCAAATCTGTCCTTCTCTACTCATGCCTCTGCTGATCCTTTTATGGTTTGCTGTGAAGCTGCTTTCTCATTTAAAGCTTGAGACTATTACATTTCTGAAAAACTTTTCTTCACAGTCTTAGAATACAGAACATCAAAAGTTTGAAGAGCAATTTTGCAAAACACACCATGATTCACAACTCAGAATTATTCCATAACAATGATCACCACATTCCCCTTGTCATCTGTTATTCCTTTCTCTTACTTTCAAGCATGCAGGAATTACCTGATCTCTAGTAACATAAACTAGTTTAAAATCATATGTCAGCAGAGATGAGATAATTCCTGCTTATATTACTTGAAAATAAGGAAAAATAGTAATGGATGTGTGATGAAAAATGGTGATCACGTATGGAATCATTCTGAGTTGTGAATCATGATGTATTTTGCAAAATTAGTTCAAAATTTTGGATGTTTTGTACTCTTAGACTGTGAAGTGCCATTCCACATTATTTTTCCATAGAAAGGTTTTTCAGAAATATAGCAGTCTCAAAATGTCAATGAGAAAGCAGCTTCACAGCAAACCATATTTACAGTGCTTTCCTTTGGCATGTCCCTCTTCCACCCCTGAACATCATGCCTCAACTGTCTTCATCACCAAAACACCACCTACAGACATATCTCCTGACTTTACACAAACATATCACAACTAAGCATATGAGAAAAGGCAAATTTGATTCATTCTGGCTTAAAAACATAGAAGCTCCCCGGTGGCAGAAGATGGGGGGGGGGGAAAGCTGCTTTGGGATCAAAAAGGGCTGGAACACTTCGCATCAGCCTTTGTGACATGATGAGAGTTAAAAAAAAATCAAATTCACCCATTTTATAAGCAGAGCAAATCCCATGGTATTTGACTATGTCGTTGCAGTCTAAATTTCACAGATGTGGCCACAACCAAGCTAGGGAGACCCCAGAGATATTCTTAACTAAATGTCATTTTCACAAGACTGCTGCTGGCTCACTGTTGCTTGCCCCGTGGGATCTTCCTGACATACTTGTGATGAAACAGACAAGTACGGTAACACTTGCAATAGTTTCTCCATCCTTCCAAGCTAAGTGGAAACAGAACTTTAAAACACATTCCTTAATCTGGCTTTTACCAGACAAGTTTCCTAATAGTACAGTAGGTAACCAATATTTTTGTCAGTTGATTTATACTGCTTGTCAAAGAGAAGTAATTCTATGCTCTCAGGTGAAATCTATTCACAAACACTTTTTTTGTGAAGCACATGCCTCCAATTCACGCAGCAGCTTTTACTCACACCCTTGTGGTTATGGAATCAGGGCTATTTCATACACATTCATTTCCATGGCCCCTTGGGCATATTAATTTATATGCAGCACTGCAGTCAAGATTCAACAGCCCATTATTCTTAGTGATTCTAAAGCCCTTCATTCTGTGACCAAGAGTTACAAGCGTTCAGCAGCAGGCCCCATTAAATACTCTTCATGCTGATATGTCTCTTAAAGATCATGGATCACTTTTACAATGTGAACTGAAGTTGCATTTGATCTGACTTTTTATATGCTAATTATTTCATACAAATTGGTAATATTTTGAGGATCAACCATGGAGCACTTTGGAATGCCCGTAAGAAAGATTCTGTACCAATGCCACTTATTAAATTTGAAATGCCATTGGTAGAATTCTATCACAACATAATGAAAATGAACTTGCATTAAAGGGAGGGAGAGAGGGAGAAAAGAAGGAAGGAAACATTCGAACAGTTACAAGAGCATAGAAAGCATATGTTATATGCATACATTATACTGGGAAATCCTTGATTATGGATTCTTAAGGCTTTCTTTATGCAGAAATTTGTAGTAAGCAACCACATTTGCTTTTATGGCATTGCAAATTGCATAATATGTGCTAAAGATACATTTCTGTCCTTTTGTACTAAGAGAAGATAAGCTGTTAGACACGTTTTGGAAATTTTGAATATAATGGCAAAGGTAGGCAATACTTTTATTAGGAAGCAACTAAATGGGATGTTGTTCTAGGTTGATAAGTATTTTCTACACTGTATGGGCTGACATTGCTGTTGACGGCCTCATGGAAATGTTTAAGTATGTTGCAAATGTCCACACAGCACATGGTCAAACTAGCTATATTTCTACCTATAGCACATAACACTTTCCTATTATCCGGAACCTCTTCGCTGCTAGTCGTCCACTTTTTAAAATTCACTTTCCAAAGTGACAGAGCACTGAATTGACAAAGGACAGCCATTTCTGAATTACTCCTTTATCACCTATCTGTTGAATGTACTGTTGACCGCCTCCTCCTTGCTTCATTTCCTGGGATCTCAGAGCTCTTCCAAAAGGCAAATGAGCAGCAGAAAGAGGGAGTAGAGGGCAAGAAGCAGAAAAGCCAAATGGGAGGTGTCTTGTTTCCAGAACAGAGAGGAAAGCAGTAGTACAATGCACCAGAAAGCAGATGCAGATGTTGGTAGAAAAAGAGAGGGGACAAGCTGAAGAAGCATCCATGACAAACCAGCGGTAGGGAAGAATCCATGACCTACTCCCACATGAACCCATACCAAGCAAGCTACAGCCTCTCCCCTAAAGTTGTTGTCCTGGGGAAGGGGGGAATCTTTGCTAAGGGCAAAGGCTTCCCTGCAAATCTGTACTGAAGCAACAGTGACTATATAAGCCTAGCCAATAAAGAAGGGGAAAAGATTCCTCTATCAATAAGTTCCCTCTTTATCTCACCAAAATCAGCCCACTTCGTCTTTTCAAAGTCTACTGCTAGTGTTTCCTATTAGCTTTTTAGTAGCTCTGGGAAGATTTCTGGGATAATGCAAAGCATGTGGGTTAAGCACAAGCATTCAGAGCAATGAAAAGTAAGGACACTGTCCTTATTGCTCATAAAAACCAATTAGCCATGACTTGACTCTGCATCTACCCATTCTGATGCTGAATTACTACTCCGTAACCTGACACAGTGCTAAGGTATAATATTTTTTCTTAAAGGAAAACTTCTTTTAGAGTAGTGCCAACCCTAGGAGTATGAGCCTGAAGGATATAATGCTGAACCATCACAATAGAACTCATCACACTCAATGTGATCAGGACACGCTTCTCCACTGCCACAAAAGACAAAATTAGGCATCATACAAGCCAGAAAGTGAGATAATGCAATCAGAATGGAAATGTTACCACCCCCAAACAGTTTTTCCAGCTGAAAAAATCAACAAAAATGTAATACTGAATATTTATAAAAAGAGAGATTTACTCACAATTAGGTTTATGTTGTGCAGTCAATAGCAAAAACATTTAAATTAATAGTTACAACTTCAGCACAAACAGCAGGACAAAGTCTGCCAAGCCGCACTGTTAGACCACTTTAGATCACCCACCCCTCTCTTCAGGTTGTGTTCAAGGACTACATGGCTCGTTGTTGCTGTCAGATAATTCAGTGTCTTACAGTGGGATTTGCTGATGTTGGTAAGGATACATAAGAAACAAAAGTCATTAAATTGAAGAGCAAAGAGGAATTTAGGCAGGACCTCTGCCTAAATGCAACTAAGCCAAGTCTATACAAAGGTAGATGTACAGGCTCCCTGATCCATATGATCTGCAACAATGTTGCTGTTTGGAAAATAATAATTTTACATTTCCCATTTGACCTTTGCAAATAGGACATGAGCTGCTCAAGCTCAATAAAATACTTCATCCAATGGAACAAACTAGTTCATTTTAAATACTGCTCTTTGGACCATTCTACATCTTTAATTAAATATGTGGGTGGGGGGAGAGAAACAGATTGAATTTTTACTAATTGATAAAACTTTTGCTGAACATCTGGAATACTATTAGTTGTGATGCAATTAAAAATCAAAATCAGTCCCCAGGCAAGAAGGGTCATTCATTTAACACAGCAATATTTAAAAATGAACATTATGAGAACAAAATGCAAACTCTACACATAGGCTGTATCTTTATCAGGAACAACAAAAACCTGCACAAAAATATGCAAGTTTTTCTTAGTTCCTAAGAACTCTTCATAAGGCTAAATGGTAAAAACTTTGGGAAGGGTTGGATTAATTTCTAACATGCACAGTGTTACACATAGGCCCCAAATAGTTTTAGAATGATACTTTATCTCATGGCAGCATGGACACTACTTTTTCTTGTATGAAATAATGACCAAATATTTCAGAAATCTGTAACTTACTGAGAGATGTGTGTGATTGGGGTCAGCAAAGTTTCACCCTCCAAGTCAAGTTCATCAGCAAAGCTGTTAGTCCTAATGATTGGTCCTGTGATCGTATCTAAAAATGGAGATGTTTTTTTCACTGTGAAGAAAAGGAAGAAGCAGGTAAAGGTTAAACTATATTGTTACCAACATATTTTTTTAAAAAAAAGATTTAAAACATATAAACATCTGAACTATTAATTTAAAGGAAATAATTAACATGCACAAATGGGACTAGTGTGGATACAAATAGAAGGGAGACTCTAGGGTTTTTGCTACAAGAAAAGAACACTTGATGAATACTTTCTGTCTTAACCACAACACATTTCCATTCTTGTTCATAAAATATTTTCCTATTTACTAGCTTAAATAGATGGAATCCAAGTTCAAGTCTCCACACAGCCATAAGGCACAGTGATTAGCCACATACAAGTTGCTTGTAAATTGCTGGTAAGGACGCTCCCCAAAGGTCATCCAAAGAAGGCAGACTATAAAAGCAATGCAAAAAACTAAAGAATATATTATTTATATACAATACAATACAATAATATATAAATTTCAGTGGGGTTTGCTTCAGCCAGGACTCAAACTGGATATAGCATCAGAACTATGGCAGAGTCTGGGAAAATGGCAGGTGTTCAGAGAAGCCTCTGAAGGAAAAGGGGACAGGTGTCTTTTATTACCAGAACTGAATCTTGCACTAAACTGCCAGCTATACAAAGATCAGGATGAATACACATGTGTTTTTATTTGGGAGATAGACAGGGGACAGATTGGATTTGTCTTCAGTGTGGAAGGGATTGTCACTCTCGAATTGGCCTCTTCAGCCACACTAGACGCTGTTCCAAGTCCTCCATACAGAGCACGTCACCATAGTTTTTCGAGACTAAAGGATGCCTAACTAACTTTAGCCAGGACTCAAACTGGATATAGCATCAGAACTATGGCAGAGTCTGGGAAAATGGCAGGTGTTCAGAGAAGCCTCTGAAGGAAAAGGGGACAGGTGTCTTTTATTACCAGAACTGAATCTTGCACTAAACTGCCAGCTATACAAAGATCAGGATGAATACACATGTGTTTTTATTTAGAACGATTCATCCTTCACCTTTAAAACCTGTACTTTTCTGGCACAGTTGTAGAGCATGTATTCTTTTAGGCATGATTCAGTGCGATGCAAAATAGCTCTTTATTCAGCCTTTGAGGATGGGTATTTTATGATACTGGAGGTGATGTTAACTGAGGAAACAACCCTGTTTTGGGTAGAGTAGACTGTGGCATTAAAAGGGACGGTGGAAGAAACATTCCTCTATTTTCACCTTCTTTTATTTTTAATATTTCCCTAACTGACACAGTGAAATTCTAAAACCATGTCAGGCTGATGCATTGCCATTTCAATATGTCAATATGTCACTTACTCTTCTAACAATCAAAAGTCTGAGAAAAAAAGACAGGAAAGGGGGCTAGACTCTGTCCTTAGACTCTGTCCACACAAGGCAGCACAGCCCCAGCAGAGTCAGCCTTCACTCCAATATTCTTCCCTAATGCAACCCTAACCCTAATCCCAAGCAATATTTCCTTTAATCTTGCCTGACAACAGGGTTTAGAACATTACTGTTAAAACAAATGAACATTGCAACATGCTGAAGACATCAGTAATGAAGCAGTGGTAGAATTATGCTCTGGGATACTCAATTTGATCACACCACTGTGCTTCAAGCATGTCATTATATTCCCCATTTTGCTTTATTAAAAACAGAAAATAAGAATAGTAAGCTTTCTTCAAGTGTAAAATGAAAATGACAAAATTCTGTGACTGGGAAAGAGGAAAAATTAGAAAATGGTAAAGGCTTTGGTGAGAAAAGACTGAAAATTCAGCAAGTGTTTGTATGCATGTGTGTGCATCTGTGCATTTAATCCAGAAGCCACAAAAACAATTTTCAACATGAGGAAGGAATATGGATTTTTTTCCAAGTAAAGAGTGATATTTTATGTGGTTCAAAGGCAATATTCTTATAATCTCTGTGTAATGTTTATATTGCTTTTGACCTTTTCTTATAAAATCTGGACTATAGGACACAGGTTTCATTGACATCCGCAGTTTCAAAACCAATGTTTTCACAAACAAGCCTAATTGCCATCAGTGAAAGTACCAGCACTAAATTTTGGTGAACAAGAACACAGTACCAATTAACGTAAGGGGTGGTTCTATTGATGGAACTTCTGCCAAGAGCAGATCTGGATGGAGAGGCAATTCTTCCTCTACACACAAAGCCCTTCTATACCCATAAAACCTACTCCAGAAAGCTGTGAAAACTTCCAGACTTGGGTATCAGTGTGTTGTATGGAAGGGGAAGCAAAGCACCCATACAACACATTTTCCAGGCCATTTTTAACAGTCCCTTTCCTTCCTTGCTACTACATTAGAACAACTACACCAATGCTGAAATTCTGGTTCAATGGGTGGTAGGAATCAGGTCTGAATATGCACTTTCCTCCTGTATTGTTATTTGTATCTCTGCTCACATGAGAATAAAAACTACACCATACCTTTTTCCCCTACTGCTGTTGAGATTTGTTATTTATTTTGACTAGAGATACATTGCAATTTGAAATTGCAAGTGCTGACTTTAGAAAGGCTGTCTATCTGTAAAATTAAACGTGGGTAAGGGTGGGAGAGTGCAGAATCCTGATCAACCAACACCTCATGTCAGAATTGTTAAACCCAAATGCTGCAGTGGAGAGTTTAACAGAAGTACAGGAAAGAAAGGGGTGCTTTTTACCTGGAGAAGTGGGGGAACTGGAAGATGGTTGCTCTGTGGAAAAGGATGACCAGGAATGCTGCCGAACTGAGTCAACAGGTGAAAGGGGGAAAAGACCACGCATAGGAAACAGAAAGGCACAAAGTCAGCAAGAGAAACAATAATGCAATCAAAAACATAATTGCATCAGTTAATCGTTTTTTAAGAAATAAAAAGATAGGTTTAAAAAAAATATGAATATTTCAGTGCTACTAAGATAAATGGACTGCTTCTCATCTATATAATTTAAAATTGAGCTAATACCACAGAGGCCTTTTTCATGATGCAGCCAAAGTTAAATACTCAAGAACTCAGTTTTCAGTGGTAGAGATATGAATGTACTTAATTTTCCCTTAAATTTAATTTTCCTTTATTTGGAGCAAAGCCTGGGGAGTTCCTGAGAGAACGGGGGGGGGGGACCCCTCCATTCTGTTTCTCTCTGGTGTGGAAGATACTAAAAATGTCCTATCAGCAAAGGGAAGTTCTCAGAGCTTCTTGGAATATGAAAAGTCAATACAGTACATGAAGGTGTGGTAGTTAAAAAAAGAGTTTGCTACATCTAATTAGTGAGCAAAAAAATTAAATCTCACCACATATTCAGACTGGCCAATCTAGCTGCAAAGGTTTGAGTTGTCACCCTTGGGAAACATCTGGAAGTGTCTGGGGTTTGTCCATGCAGTGCAATTTATTTAATGTGTTTCTAGATACTTTCTAGCTGCTTATAATTTTGGAGCTAAATTTATGGTTGAACTGCACCCTACTTCATCCACATTAGGTAAGCAAGTAACCCAGTAATTCTGAATTAAGTCCCTTATTTACTTCCTCATATCCTTTTGCTGAAAAAGAACAAGGGAGAGAAAATGAATCTCTCTGTATAATTTTGTTAAAATACAGCCTGAGATTCCAGGAGTCCAGTGTGCGCATAGGAGGGGACAAAAGATGTATGTGTGTTTTTAAATGTTTTTATAATTTTAATCTGCATGTACTTGATGATTTTAAAGTGTTCATTTTTCATTACTTTTTAATGATTGATACATCTTATTTTAATTTTTTGTTCATTTTAAGGTCTGTGAGCTTCCTGAAGTCCCACCACCTGGGAGAAAGGGGACATAAAAAATGATATAAACAATAAATAAATACATTGTTGTATAAAATAATATCCTGTGTCTGTAAACTAAATCAGTTAGAAAAGTAGACTTGTCCATGAATTTAGATGGACGGATTCATCTATGTTAAATAATTAGTTCATTAATTTCAGTGGGAAAATTAAGTATCTTTTACAAATCTCTTCCCTACTGAAACTCAAGACATGAGACTTTGGGTTGTATCATATCTGAAGTTTTGTCTTTTATCACTGCCATAATAAAAACGAGATTAAAGTTTCCTAAATAGAAATAGATTTTTTTTATCTGAGATTTTGAGGCTACAATCCTGTACACATTTACCCAGGAGTAAGCCTTATTGGACACAGTGAAACAAGCTTCTAAATAAACATGCAGAGGTTTACACGGTGGTGGGCTTTAGAGGGATTGTTTGTTTTTTTGTGGTTTTTTTGCATCAAACAATAGTCAAATACCAGGTAAATAAGTGGTGGGCTTTTGAGGGATTGTTGTTTGTTTGTTTTTTGTGGGGGTTTTTGTATCAAACAATAGTCAAATACCAGGTAAATATTATAAAGCCCCAAATACTATAAGTCACCAAGTAATGAAAAACAGTAAGTCACCAAGTAATGAAAAAAACAACAACAACAATTTGGTGTATATACAATGAGCCTCATGGTTCTGAGGTTAAACTGAAGTGTTACAGCCAAATTCTGCTTACGACCTGGGTTCAATCCCAAGTAGCTGGCTCGAGGTTCACACAGCCTTCTGTCCTTCCGAGGCTGGTAAATTTAGTACCCAGCTTGCTGGGGTTTGGGGCAATGTGTAACCTGTATGATTAAACTGTGAACCATCCAGCGAGTGTTTTAACTGCTATGGGCTGATATATAAGCAGCATGCTTTGTTTGCTTTATACTATGGACTCATGTCTTAGATTACTTTCATATCACATTAATTCAGTAAGACTTTCAATTGAACGCTTTCTACTTTTCTGATATAATTTCTAAGGAGATAGCTGTGTTAGTCTGTTGCAGTAAAACCAATACAGTACTTGGTAAAATCACATTTCTTCTTTCAACCTATGCAAGAGTCTGTTGCAAGAACAGTTGGATAGTTCTGAGTTTGTGCAAAGAGGTATCTAGCAATACTTCTTTGCACAAGGCCACAAGTTGTTGCACCACTTCGATGGTCCAGTGTAAGTACAGGACCCAAAGAAACCTTTGTGCTAATATAATATTCTTTTTTTAATTTCTGCCTTTGGTAACCTAATTATGATAATGGCTAGATGTTAAAGAATCTACATTTGGAACTGTCCTACCTCTGCTGTTAGCTTATTTGAGAATTAATAAGCATACGGAAAGCAACGTTACGTTTCCAGTTTTTGACATGCTCTGGGTAAACAGAACTTCCTCAACTTACCAAAACATTTAAACATTCCTTTTTGTCCTGTATACTTGTAAGAGTTTCGAACACATGGAGGAGGGGGAAGAAAAAAGAGAATAGATATCAGAAGAAAAAGGAACCCTTCGTTTCCAACCTGCAGTTAGTACCGGCAGCTTATAGATTACATTGCCCTTTAAACAGTGTAAGTCATAGTAAAAGGTTAATGTCAGCTGCACACAGAAAGCAGTGAAAGAGAGTATTATCATTATTTTGTGCTACATAATTTATTGAGAAACGCAGAACTACCATACATGTGAACTTTCTGTTATGTATTCAAATACAGTATTCTTCACTGATATTTGCTTTTTACAACACATTTTGTAAAACTGCAGTCTATTTACAAGAGCACTTTGCAGACTCACAAACAGAAAAGATCTGCACCCTAAAAATATCCAATTGTGAGTAGCAGATGTACAGGAGGATGCAGCAGCATTTTATATGGGTGCTGATGGCCTGTGCAAATGTTCTTCAGAACATGTAATTAAACACACACACAGAGGAGAGAGAGAGGCTAGGTTATTGCAGAAAGCCTAACAAGAACAATCAGACCATGATTCTTTCAAAGGAAGCTACTGCTGATGGTGTATAGAAATCAACTAGGTAGCACTGCAAACAAGAACTGTATCTAGAGTGATATTGCATGATAGAGGGCTTCTCACGTTCATTGGAGAGGGCTGAAGAGAGCTAAATAGGGTTGCTAGAGGCTGCGCTGGAGGTCTAGTATGACATTTGATGCAATCCTTGCATCCAAATGGCACATGCAGCTCAGTGGTGATGCAACAATATCATGAAATGGCCTAAGAAGACAGCCATTTCATGATACTGTATTGGCAAATTAAACATTTCCTCTGCACCATGGAGAGTAGATGAAGTTATTTTTTTGTAGACTATATTAGGGCAGCTCTGATATGTTGCATCACTTACAAAAAAGACAAAGAAAAATTTAAAACTTTCTCCTTGAAGTGGGAGGATACAGGAGGGGTCAATAATGGGATTATTTCCCCCCTTTGGCGCTTGTCTTAAAGGTTGGGTCAAGAATCTGTCTGCAGCCAAATTCATCCATTGTGCAGAGGAAGTGATTAACTTGACAGCATTGTGAAGTGGCTGTGTTCTCAAACCACTTCACAGTATGGAAAACTGACAGTGGAAGGAGCCCTGACCACGGAAGATTAATTTCCAGCACATGCAGGAAATGAACAAAAACAGAGATTCTACCTGCCCCCCCCCCAAAAAAAACATTAGAAGTCTCTGATAGGGACTCAACACAATGTGGGTAGGCACACTCTGGGGATTGGCAGTTTTGGTCCAGTGACTGTGTTGTGTGATAGCTGAAAAAAGACAGCAAGCCAGCCTGTTCCCACAGTGGACTAAACAATATGCTAAATGCCTGTCTCATTGCACCCAGAGATAGATTGAGGACTCTTTTAGTTAAATGTTATGGTTTCTATCTAATTGAGCAAAACAAATTTGAAATAAATGCCAAAGCAAAGTCCATGTTTTTAAAAAATGCTCAGGATTCAGGTGTTCTCAATAAAGTGTCACATGTAGGGTGTTTACTAGGAAGGAAGGAAGGAAGGAAGGAAGGAAGGAAGGAAGGAAGGAAGGAAGGACCCAAAGGCTTCACAGAAATCAATTGTCATTGTTCAGAGCAATGTCAGAAAGCATTAAGAGTGGCTTTAAATGTTTTTAGATTTGAAGGTTTCTCCATAGTATTTATGTCCAGGGCAAAGAGGCAATAGTTATTAGAATAAAAATGTTTTGAAACAGGTTGTTCAAACATGCATACATAGTAGCAGCCTGTTGGAAGTTTCAAACTGGCAAGGGTTACAGCAGAACAGCCACTTGTGGCCCTTTTCAGATTTGCTGATAAAAGTATATTGTTATCATCAGAACAGTCAGGTATGCATGCATTTAGGGTTTAAGTGCCAATGAGGCCCAGTTACACTGTGTGTCCTTATTTTAATTTATGGAAATTCTAACCATTCTTACCAGAATTTTCATATGAATCCAACTGAAAGTTGTCAGATCGCCTATCATCCAACACATGTTCAAATGTGATTTGTGGAACAGGTAACATTTTATCAGGAGAAGTAGATCCGTTATCTTTTTCGGTCTTAAATTTCTTCTTTTTCACCTAGTAAGAAAAAGCAATTTAAAAACAAAACGAAGTGCAACCTCCTACTAGATTAATAGTGAGAGGGTCTAATTAAGTCCATAGTACAGTACCCTTGTTCAATAAAATGAGACATTTTCAAACTAGGGAACATGAAACAAAATAACAGGGAAATTAAGCATTTTTTTAGGGGTGGGAAGGGGGGGGGAACTGCATTAGAAGTCTGCCTGTCTTTCAAATACTTGGGGACCACAAGGCAGATTCTGATGTACAGCAGTGTTTAACAACTACAGTCCACAAGATGCTTACATATACTTATAGTTTACAGCCATAGAACCTGCAAATTTTAACTCTTCATTGCACTGCAGCCATTTTCTCCAACTACTGCTACCATTAACAGAAACTACTGTACATGAGATGAGGATCTGTCCTGCTAGTCTTCTGTTTCAGTGATAAGATGCATATGATACATATGAGACATATTGTGTCTTTTTAAACACACAATAATTGAAAGTATTTTTTAATACTTGAAAGAAAAAATCATTATATTAAGCACATCAAATGTTTCTAATGTTCAGTCCTTCATGGCACACATATTTAATCTCAGATCAAACTGTCCATCTAGTCCAGTAGTATCTCATTCTAGCACTTGCTTCCCACATTTTCACGCAGAAATCTTCTGGATCACTTGCTGAGTGATATGAGATTTTTGATGTGGAAGTAGTATGCTAACTGATTTCAGATCTGCTGGCGCAATAATTGAATCTGTTGGTAGATATCAGCCAACAGAAGACCCAAACGAGGTTAGAGAAGGGGAGGAGCAGAAGAAATAGATGAGGCATGCCAGATCCAAACTCTTCTCATGTCAGACACACAGCCACCATGCCAGGACAAATTTAAGTCGTGGTCAGGGTAGTCCTGATTTCTAGAATCCCTGGGCTTAGAAAGTGTTTGGATTCAGCATAGACTCAGCTGACTTAGTGTTAGCCTAGTCATCCCTCAGTCATCTTGTCTAGTTTTGAATGCATTATTAGTTCACCAAGCAAACACTGCAAGAATTACAGGAAAGTTGTTCCTATTTCGTGGAACTGCTAATGAGAAGGCACCATCTTCCACAAATTATTAAAGGTACTTCCTGCTTGAAAGTGAAATGTACAGTATATCAGAGGTAGGGAACGTTTGGATCATCAGATGCCTTAGACTTTAACTGCCAGAAGCCCTGGTCATTGTGACCAATAGTAAGAAAGAGCAGGATCTGTATTTCAACGCCTGTGGAGGATCAAAAGTTTCCCAGTCCTAATAGGGGTGATGGGCAGGTGTATCAATCTGTCCTGAAGCCAGGCTGCAAGCCATAAATATTCTACTGAAGATATCCTAAAGCATAGAAATAAATTCTTGGCAGGACAGGTTTTCCATTTGAGGACTGCTAGTTGTTAAAAGAGAATGAAGGTGCAACACGGCTTTATTCTCCAAACCTACCGTAATCTACTGCTGATAAGGAAGGAAGAAGACAAGTACTTAACATGGCTTGCTAATGTTTCCTGCCAATTGCTCAGACCTGCAAACCACTCACATATCCCTATATATGACACTAAATGAAGAACAACCTGTTATATTGTATGGAAGAATACTGAAATTTATTATATTCTATAGAAAGTTTATTATATATAGGAAAAAAGAACATCCTAAGAAAAAATAGTTCATATCGATCAAGCTTTGAATACTTATGTATCATATGTCAAAGGAAAATAACCAAGGCAAACAAAAATGCAGTTCCTTACCGACACTATCCCAATTTTCTTTGGCTTTGGACTAGGAGACATTAAATGATAATTTCTGGAAGGCTTTTTAATGTATATTTTCCACGTAGAAGAATCTGGATTCTCCGATGCATAGCACCGCCAGGCAGTCTAGAAGATTTCATTAGAAATGCACAATTGATTAGCTGAATTACTAAACACAGCGTATGTTTGCTAAAAATAGTCAAAGCTGCCATCACTAATTTACAAGACATTATTCTACTTATCTGTAAATATCCATATAATCTGGAAATGGTGAAAACTAGAAAAATGGGTCAGGGAGAAATGTTTCAGTTTAGAAAATTCATGAGACAAGTTGACCTCTGATCCAGATTAGGTGAAAAATTCAAACAAATCCATTCTGAATAAAATGTGCAGAAGGAAAAAGGAGAGCAGACTTTAAAAGTCGCCTCTTCTAAATAAGAAAATTCTGTGTAGAACTATGTCAGTGAATCTCTTGATGGATTGAAACAACCTTTGCATTCATGGGTTGGTGACAGCATTTACCTGTGATTGGTTCTAAGGTGAAAGTCCTATAGGTCATTTTCACTCATGAGTACTAAAGACAACCCAGACAATTTCTGTGAAAAATGAAGGTGGGGGATCTCTCAGAGCAGCTGCTGGATCCATGACAAGCAGTAAATGCTCACTATGCAAACAAGCATCCCACAGTATAAGGATGAGGCACTTTCTCACCCTTTGTTCAGACAACAGTCTACTGAAAGTGAAAAGCATAAGCCTGACAGTCTTTTAAAAGGTTTTAATATTAAAGCACCTCATTCACTTTGAATCTCTGTTTGTGGCAAATGTATATAAAATATGCAAATAGATACATTTATATTTATACAGGATATATAGTACTCAGTCACCATGTACCTGAATGAGAGAAGCAGCTGCTGGAATTTGTCGATTGAAGTGCTTCTGCCTTTGTTTCTGTTGTACCTTCAGAGCAAATCCAGAACCAAGAATTCCCTGAGGAGCATAAGAAGTAATGTTAAGAGAGCATATCAATATTTCTATTGGGGGAATAAATGTATTTTTCAGTTTTTAAATGTTTTAAACTCTCTCAGGTTACTGATCTTCTAATCATGTTATAGCCAGTACCCTATTTGCTCCCTCCCTGGTGCGACTGTCTGCTGCACACACGATGGGGCTTTTCCCACATCCTTACCTGCCTGCCTGCCTTTGCATCTCAGAAGCTGCTTGACTGGCTATGTGGGTTTTGCCTGGCTTCTAGGATTCTCAGGGCCAAGGCCCTCTGGGCAGGGTGGCCACCCCACTTCATGAAACTTTGGTTCCAAAGACTTCTGAAGCCAGGCAGTATCCACACAGATGTCCCTGAAGCTGCCACACAATGGAGACAATCAAGCAACAATTTGAGCAAAGACCACTGTCCTCTTCCCTTTGATCATGAGTGCTACTACAAGGTGACAGGGGAAAGGGGGATTTTAAGCTGATTCAAATGATAGGCTCACAAAGTGCTATGTTCCATGAATGTACACAAAACACTGACTTATCTCATTAACTGCACTTCAACTTACTGGTTTTTTTTCCAGTTTGTCTTTTAATAATTTTGCAAGCCACTTTGAATCCTTATGTTGGGTTTACGAAATAAAAATATAAAAGAATAAACCCTATTGTAGATTGTACTTTTAAAAACTGAATTTCTAATAAATTCTACCAGAAAGGAAGTTGAAGCATAGCCTCAGATTCCACAAAGTTGGGGTCAGACCTATTAATAAAGCTCCTGTTTGAGCTTTCACAACCCATATATTTTACACTATATGGGATCCAAACATTTTTGCAAATTTGCACTTAAAGTTACAGTGCATAACTAACTGCCTGTTAGCAGAAAACATATGTAATACTAATAAAATCTGTGACACAATGTGATTGTGAGAAATATGCATGCATAAACATCAACAAATTGCTCACTGCTATATATAAAGAAAGGCAGCACAATGTGATGGGATAAAATATTACAGACCAGATTTCTCAAATGCACAAATATCCAATCACTCTAGCAAAGGCATAGTTTTCAAAGAGATAATGTGTTTGTTTGTTACAGTAAAAACAACCAAGAACTACATGGCACTTTGAAAATGTTTTTTTTTTTTGTGACACAATTTTTAGAAGACTGGACATGAGGAAAATGTGTGTCACTTAAAGAACCACAGTTTTTGTTTGTTCTGCTATTGAAAATGGGCTGCGGGTTTGCATATACCTATTATTGATTCCACTATTACCGTAATAATGACTATTTGTCATCTGAACTGGGTCACACAAAAAATGAAATCCACACACCATCATTGGAACAAAACAGGCTACAACTTTATTGGTTACAGATACAAGTACTAATAGTCCTGGTGCTAGCATAACAGATGGATCTGCATCTCCTGACCAGCTTGCTTCCCACAGCTGAAGGGAACAGCTGGAGTCAACTAATAAATCCAAGCACAAAATGATTGATTCAGCTGTGATATTTTTATGGTATGATCCTAAAACTACCAAAACATTCTATGTTGGGCCCTAAATGCCTCTAACATTTCACCTTTGGGCACAAAAAAATCCCTAAACTGAGCAATGCAACAGCTCTGAAGTGTTCAAAAAGGTCTTATGCAAGCATAAAAAACATGGGTGGAACAAAGGAAGCACTGCTTGACTCATAGCACCACATGGTGAATGAGAGGAGAAAGTGAGCAAGCAGTAACCCACTTTCTGCATATACAACCACTAGGAGCAGAATGTAATTCTGGACAATGTACCACGTAACTCCATGACAGGAGGTAAGTGGGGATCCTTGTTTGTACTCAAGCATTTTAATGCACTATGTCTCAGAGCCCACAATTTTGAAAGGAGGAAATACCATGCATGGGAACTATATAATAATTAGTTGTGGAATACCGAAGAACAAAGCTGAAATCAAATCTCAAGGGATACGAATCTTGGCCACTTCCCTGGTGGTTTATCTCACCAGGGAAGAGTACACAATACAGTAGTTCGAAGAGAGAGCTACAACACGTTAGTCTAATAACCTAATTGCTATTATAATTCTCCTTATGGCAAGTTGTTTTCATTACAATGAGAAACACTTCCTTCTAAACAGAGAATTGGAGCATAATAGTAAATTGAGTATGTAAAGTTAGCAAATGAGCAGCATCACAAGTAAGTTTGGAAAATAGTCTCTCTCTTTGTCTATCTATCTATCTAGTTTAAAACAGTTTAAAGTACTCTGAGTAACTTACCGCAGGCAAGGCAAAAAACGAAATTGCAAACACAGAAAAACAAGATGCAATGGTTTTTCCTATCCATGTCTGAGGCACCTTGTCTCCATAACCAATAGTTGTAACTGTCACCTAAAAATGAAAAGAATAAATATTATTAGAGCAACAGCATGTAGTTTTGATAGCATTTCAAGCTGCCTTTTGAGGCAGCAGCCATGGAGCAAGTAGCAGGGTGACGAAAACAGAGTCCAAGGACTAGATTTCAGGGTTTCCTCCCCCGCACCTTTCCCTCACCCCAAAATGACTGCCCAGAGAACAGCTGGTAATTAATGCAAGCAAGCTACAAACAGGCCCAGCATCTTCACCTGGGCTAGTATGAGTATGACCAGCCTCTCCAGGTTTGATGCTACTCATCTCATCCTTTCTTCCCTTTTATTTTTTAAATGGTTAGAGATGCTCATTTTATTATGCATTATTTTAGTTTTAAGTATGCATTTTCCTTTTTTTTTTAACAGCAAGTTTTAAAAAATTCACACTGGGAGTGAAAACATTTTGTGTTCCCCATAGAAAGAAACTTTCATCACAACTTGTACACAGATCTTTCAAAGGACCTGTCAGTTACAAAGTTTGATCACAGGTATACAAGTCATTTCCATACTCACAGCAATCTTAGCCCTGTCCCTCAGAACATTCAGGTTTGGAATTTAGTCTTTTTCTAACTCCTTACACATTCCAGTCTCCTTTTACTGTGAATTTAACCATTTTCTCTTGTTTCTAGGACTGCCTTCAATTTAAAATCTCAGTCAGTTTCGAAAGCAAAAAAAGGAAATGAGAAAGAAAGAAAAGGAATTTGCTTCCAACTGTTCATTGAAAAACAATCTACATTTCAAATTCTACATAATAACTGAAAAAGTATTTATAAGATTCTTGTAATAAAATTGGAAATGCTTTCTATCAGGTATAAGGCTGAGTTACCTAAACAGGCCTTGCTGATATGTACTGATACTGTAGACCATTAAATCCTGAAATGTTCAGATTCATCTACTGTGAAATATTTTGAAAGTTTGGAACATTCTTTGGATAATGTTCTGCTTTGGAACAAGCAATCTGCCTTTCTAATGTACCGGAAATCTTAGAATAATCACTGACTACTCTTAGATGTCATGAGAAGAGATGCGCAAACCTTTGCAAAATGGCAGATCATTGTGGTTCATGGTTAATCCTGAAATGTTCAAATTCATCTACTGTGAAATATTTTGAAAGTTTGGAACATTCTTTGGATAATGTTCTGCTTTGGAACAAGCAATCTGCCTTTCTAATGTACCGGAAATCTTAGAATAATCACTGACTACTCTTAGATGTCATGAGAAGAGATGCGCAAACCTTTGCAAAATGGCAGATCATTGTGGTTCATGGTTTGTTGAAGTCTGAGAACCAAGAACTTCCCAAAGTTTTGGAAAAAATGAACCATGAATTGGCTCACTTTGGTTCAGATGTTTGGGATTTCTAGAATGCATCCCCCCCCAGCCACTTAGACACCAAAATCATGGACAAGCCTACCCTGACTCCGTTGAAGTCTGAGAACCACGAACTTCCCAAAGTTTTTAAAAAAATGAACCATGAATTGGTTCACTTTGGTTCAGATGTTTGGCATTTCTAGAATGCATCCTCCCCAGCCACTTAGAGACACCAAAATCATGGACAAGCCTACCCTGACTCTCCTTTACACCTCTCCAAGTTTGGTGAAGACAGGCTTGTTTATTTCCATGCAATAATTTGCGTCTTCTTTCTTATATCATGTATGCATATACTGTGGATGTTAGCATCTCTCTCTGTTTCTGGAAGGGGTGTATTTTTAGTCCCATGGCTGAATATTTATTATGTACACCAAATATATCCTCCAGGGAATCCATGCAATAATTTTCTTATATCATGTATGCAGGTACTGTGGATGTTAGCATCTCTCTCTGTTTCTGGAAGGGGTGTATTTTTAGTCTCATGGCTGAATGTTTATTATGTACACCATATATATCCTCCAGGGAGTATATAAACCTAGGGACTTGATTTATATCCGACCAGACCTGCGCTAGATTTATATCATCCAAGGAATTCAAGATAATACATCCAGAGTATACATACTACACCACTACACCAATGTGGCATAGTGGCTAGAGTCTGACTTCGTGGTGCAGTGGTTAAACCGCTGTATACTACACCTATGTGGCATAGTGGCTAGAGTCTGACTTCTAATCAGAGTTCAGATCTGTGTTTGGCTACTGAAACTCATGAGGGGAGTTGTACTAGTAAAACTGCTCCTTAAATAACTCGCGCAAAAATAAAAAATAAGGAAGACAAAGATGTTGTGGCACCTTAAAGACTAACTGATATATTTTAACATGAGTTTTCATGGACAAATCTACTTCCTCAGACACTTCCTTGTTCATGAAGCTCACATTAAAATATAGCATTTAGTCTTTAAGGTGCCACAACATTTTTATCTTCTTTTTAGTTTTAATTTTATTTTTGCCTGATATGCCAGCACAAACTAACATGGCTACTTCTTCTAAAACTTAAATATCTTACTTACCTTGAAAGTTCTATTGGGGCTGCTATACATCTGTCGAGATTTGAATCAGAGTTCAGATCTGTGTTCGGCTACTGAAATTCATGAGGGGAGTTGTACTAGTAAACTACTCCTTAATTATCTCACGCAAAAATAAAAAATAAAGAAGACAAAGAGCACCTTAAAGACTAACTGATATATTTTAACATGAGTTTTCATGGACAAATCTACTTCCTCAGACACTTCCTCATTCATGATGCTCACATTAAAATATAGCATTTAGTATTTAAGGTGCCACAACATTTTTATCTTCTTTTTAATTTTTATTTCATTTTTGCCTGATATGCTAGCACAAACTAACATGGCTACCTCTTCTAAAACTTAAATATCTTACTAACCTTGAAAGTTCTATTGGGGTTGCTATACATCTGTCCAGATTTGATGACACATAACACACACACACACTCCAAAGTGATTTTGAAATACCGACCTCAGTATTAGGTAATCGGCTACTGTGTCCTGGCTCCTTTCTTTTTAATATCCCAGGACAACTACTCTGATCATCAATGTTATTATTACAATCCCCAGCAAAATATGACAAATTATACGCCAAGTACTGCAACCAGAATAAGTAGCTAAACGATGTTTTTAGGTGACAGTATTTAATCTGCACAATTAGAAATCTTGCTGTTTTTGTATTCAAGGTATTCTATCAATACCCACAAAATATATGCATACACAAGACAGAAACAAAGTGTAGTTTTGCATGGAATAAACTTAATTCAGGAAAAAGAAAGAGGACAGGAAATTGAATTACAACATAGCTCATGTTAACATGCTATAAATTCAAAGCATTAATTTAGAACTTCACAACTTGGAAAACTTTACGGTGCATGAGGTTTCAGGGCTATGGGCAGCCTGCCTAAATCTTACTTTTCTCTTTAGGGAAAACTGCACCAGCACTCAACATTAATCTGTATTGCTGGTTAAATTTATAGCAAGACAGTGTCTGCTAGTGCATGATTATGATACCAAAAGGAATCAATAGATGTAAATATACACACACAGAGAGAGAGAGAGAGAGAGAGAGATACTTATATGGTATTTTCAGATGTTGTAGCAATGCACAGATGCTAAAGAAGAAGAAACAGAACACTGACAAGTCAATTCATTCAGATGATTCGCTGATTCACAACATCTAGGATATTTAGATCACAGTACATTTAGAAATGCAGACTTTGTGGGGAAAAATGTTACAAATGTGTTTTTAAATATCTCTTTCAATTATAATTTTTGTGCAGTTTTTTGAAATTGCAGATCAATGTGGAAATGGGATTGATGTGAAAATGGAAAATTATAGGTTGAAGTGGGCACATGGACTTTTTAAAAACTGCAGATTAAGGTGGAAATTGCTAACGTAGGAAAATATGTGAAAGTGACATGGGCCAGAAATAAACTGATCCATTCATTACTACCACTTATTATTCATCAACAAAACTGAGGAAATGCATCACTTACAAAAGGAGGCTCAGATTTACAGATGATGTCAATAAACTAATTTATATGTTTATATAGTGATTGGAAAAGTTACTTTTATTAGCCCCTTTATTATAGCTCTCAGAATTGCCGAGTAAAGTTAATAAGAGTTGTAGTTCAAAATAGATCAATTTTTAAAGCTCTGCACTGTTATCCATTTAAATAATCACTACAATTTAAATATAAATGCAATACATTTCATATTAGTGGGAAGACTGTAACCATTTTACATATCTAGAACCAAGAAAAACTAAAAGCATCTTGATGGAAGAGCCGAAGAGTGATCACCCAGATGCCAACTATAGCACCTTCTCAACAAGTCCAATCAAAGTTTATGAGAATTGTAAAAGACTCCACTGACTGGTTCTTCTGCCCATTTCCCTATTAATTTTAAAGTGTCTTGAGACCAAATTCCCTCATGGATTAGGCCAATATTTTTTAAAGCTGAACTATTTTGTCTTCTACTTATTTAAGCTGTAGCAGCAGAATACAAAGTTACCTGTACACTGTTTTGAAGCAATTCTAATACATACCATTTTAAAATACGTATAAGCATATTTCGTTAACATAATGGATGGAGGCCATACAGACAAAATCATTTAGCCTCTTTGCTATACTTAACATCTGATGCTTCAGAATTAGAACTGTGACATAGTAAAAAAGGAGACATTATTTGAGTAGCTTTATTTGGTCAGCTGGATAGTTTTACAGCACTATTGTCCACTGGACAATGTCTTAGGCCGAGCATTTGGCAGTGGTGAGACTTTGATCATTTCAAAATTCTGAAGCTACACTGGCAAAGGTCAATGTAACTGAAGGTTATATGGGCATATAAAGAACAATGATACTCTCCCCACCAACCCGAAAAACAACCCTAAAACAAAGCCTTGAAGGAGAAAAGAGAGATCCAAAAGCAAACAATTACATTGTCTAATTAAAGTGTTATGGCCCTGTTGACTGATGTTCATTACCACCGAGATGCACCCTGCATTAAAACAAGGCAGTACCTTATGCCTTAAAGATAAAACTGATTTATTATAACACAGTTGTGTGGAGTGAAACTCACACTTCTATTGTACACGAGTCCCTAGTCCAGAATAACTCAATCTTTGAGACACCAAGAGATTCATTGTTTTCATTACTTTGCTGCAATTTGCCTCTACTAACTAAATATAAAGAATGGTTGATTAAATATCTAAGGTGATCAGCTGTACTTCCAAGTCTGTGATCAAGAAGACTTGAAAGAATGCTGCTGCTGTAAGCTACATAGAGAGGTACCAGATTCCTGAGGGTCAGCAATGGCCAGGAAATACACATCCAGTCCTTGTACAGGAGACATCAAGACATTAGAGGGAGAAGATTTTTTACTTACTGCTCCAGTTACTTCCTCTTTCTTAAAAACAAAACACTCTTTTCAAACTTGAAATTCTTTTTTCAATGGTATCATGAAAAAATTCCATCTTATTAATCTACAAGCAGACATGGACACTTTCTGTAGCATCACAACTAATCTTTTTCTCATCTTGTCCAACTTTGAAAGTATAGAAGTTTAGGGTGTAGTCACTGAACTCTTAGAAATTTAAGGCAAGATTGAGGACAGGCACAGACTGAACCTGAGACCTGTAAGAAATCCTCCTATCCTTATGCAGTAAATCACCCTGACTTTTTCTCGAAATGAGAATGTGAGCTAAGCAAGCAACCTAATGCTTCCTTTCCACAAATGTCTTTGTTCAAACTTCTCACATGGGGTGGTTGGTGTCACATAACAGTTGCAATTAAGCAGTGATGCGTCGGGATAATGTAGGGTTTTCAAAAAGGAAATTATGGATACAACTTTATCACTTTTGTGAAATGGTGAAAGATCTTTATTTGTATCTAACCAATATTGATAATTTGTCTGCATCATGTGCAAAGAAAGCAGGTAATCAAAAAGCTTTAAAATAAAACTGTATGCTCTCTAGCTGGCTGGATAGCTCAGTGGTTTAGGTATATGACTGTGAAGCCAGAATTTGGGAGTTTGATTCCCCATGGTGCTTCCTGGGAGAAGATCCAACCTGTGTAGTCATGGGCAAGCTGCACAGTCCCAGAGCACCCCAGATGAAGAGAAAGGTGAACCACTTCTGAGTACTTTCTACCTAGAAAACTCTGGAAAGAGTCACCATAAGTCACAATTGACTCGATGGTATGCTATTATTATTATTATT